TTGGGAATTTGGCACAGGGGAGGGTGGCTATATTAATGGCCATCACTCCCTTGCTACCAAATTTCAAGACCTGTGGGGTGCCCCATGGGCTGCATTTGGCCTGTGGATTGAAGGTTGAACATTCTTGATCTAGTCCTAGCCCCTGCTTGAGGCAGGATAATTTCTATTCAAATTGTCTCATACAAATCCTTGTCTAACCTAGTACTAAAACTATATAATAAATCCTGTCATACAATCACAGGCCATTACCTGCCATAGTAAAGCAGGGATCTTGCATTAAAATGGAGCAGGTGCTACTCTTTTACTACGGGAACTGAAACAGACATGAATTCTTAAATTCTCATTTTTACTCAACTGAATTAGCAAGCAACTTGCCTGATCCACATGTAAAGGAAGAGTAGGATGAGTTATCTGGAGAGGTCTCTCAATGGCATGAATTATTCCATTGTAGGCCAGAATGTCCCACTCTACGATCAAGGTATTATTAGCCAGTCTGGAACCCTAGTGCAAGAAAAGCCATCATTAAGACTGAGGAGTAAAATGTAATTTCTTTTAGTAGGAGGACCTTCTGGACAGGAAAAAATATCAATTACATAGACTTGGCAAAAGGTAATAAAAATCTGCCCAAGGTTTATAGGTACTTACAGTGAGCTGTGTTCTATTCTCAGATTCTGCAATGGAAAGGTTGTATCCTGAGCAGGAAGGTATAACTGTACTGTCTGTGAGATTGAAGCTCAAGAGAAAGATATTGCTCATAGAGACATGCAGCTTCAGCTCTTCCCATGTTAATGTCTGACGAAACAAAAAAACGTTTCATGATGGCAAAGTAAAATCAGAATCAGATGTGGTTCTGCCATAGACTTGAGGAAAGAGCTCAAGCTGGATCTTATTTTATCTGATCAAGTTCACTCAACTGTAATTCTGACTTCTTGCTTCAAGACTATGTTGAATGAGCTGATGCAACAGAGACAGACAACAATGACTGTGCATTTACAGGCCACAGGAGTGCTCTTTTATTAAGCAGAACATTTTAGTAGCACACTGTCCCAGCATCAGTGAAAAAGAGTTGGTGTCCAGTGTACAGAAGATCCCAACACATTGGGTGTACATGCTAGGTCTATAATTCTGGCTTTATATACCCTTAGAAACATAAAGCAAGTTGGCAGTTCTTGAATTACGTGTCCTAAAGAAGGCGTTTTGTTCTAATGCTCTGAACAAATGATGTCATCTCATTTCTGCATTAGAATGATGCACCAACTACTTTAGATTCAGTGTCAGTATAGTATCTAGCACAGCAGGGTCCCAGTTCATGATTTGGTCACTTAAGACTGCATTAAAACAAATAATTCTGCTTGGTCAGTATTCAAATTAAGCATTCATTCAAAATTTCTTACCATATTGTCTCCAAATCCAGAATTCAAGGGTATGAAGACCGTTTTATATGTGGTGTCATTGGAAAGAAAGTTGAGAAAGTCAAGCCCATCTTGAGTGATATTGGCAAAATCCAGTAACATCTGAAAAAGAGGACAGACCCTGAGTGCCAGCTGAAAGCTATGGGTTTGTCAAAAATAATTAACACGTCAAAAAGATTGTTCTCAGCCTTTGTTACAACAGTAGAAACATTTCCTCACATTTATAATTGGATTCTAATGCTCAGTATGGACTTAAGAGTTTTCACAACCTCTCCTTTTATTTCAAGGTTTTTTCCTTCAAAACTTCGGGATGTGGGGCCTCCCATTCCGCCATTATTATTGTTTTTTGCCTTGCCAACAGCTTGCAGAGAAGCATGCCTCATCCCTACCCAGCTTCTGCTTCAGAGGGAAAATGGCAGTATTGCTTACAGAGTAGAAGGTTGAAAAGTTTTCATGTTCTGCCAGTACAGCCAAAAGATTTCCACTGCAGAAGTAACCATCCCCAATGAACCCATCTTGACAGCTACACATCACATCTGCAAAGCAAGAGAGATGTTACAGTGACTGAATCTGGGGATGAGCTCTTCATAAAACAAAGCAAACATTTAACTATTTAAGATAATGTCTATACATGTGGGAGGCATTAATAGTCTAATGGATATAGCAGTGGTTCCCAAACTGACAGATTGCGCACCACCAATTTAAAACAATACAACCTTAAGTACCACCAGCAATTTTTTGTCATGTAAAGTAATTATAATAAATCTGTTAATGTGTACTACTGACAGGTTGTCTGTGTACCACTGGTGGTACCTGTACCACAGGTTGGGAACTGCTGGGATAGAGCACTGGACTCATCATCAAGAAATCGATGACTTTGACAGGCTCAGTAACTTTGGGGTGCATCACTTATGCCCCCGGTGCTTCAGGGTATAGACATCTGAACAATTTACTGTGAATCAGAAAGGTAATGGGGCCTAACCACACATCAGTTGCTCCACAGTAACCACCCAGGGGCTTACCTTTGCCCTACGGTAAATGGAATATAACCTGTGGAAAATCATTCCTCTCTCCCTGAGGGCTAAGCAGAAATGGATTACCTTCCACTTACTGGGCATGTGTACATGTGCCCCTACAGTGCCATTGTTACTGCGCCATCATTTAGTACTTCCTTTTGAAAGTAGTAAATGAAGGCACAGTAAAAGCCCGTCATGCATTATGCCAGCAGTACAGTTATTTTTAGCTGCTATGTCACCATAGCAATGCACTATACAGAGGGAACATGTTGCTGCAGTAACAGCTGGAGCATCATGGTTTGTGCCCACTGATGCTACACTGCCAAAGGGCATTGCTACAGCAATGTAGCATCATGTGTACATGCGCCCACTGTGAGGTTAGGGTGTGCCCATGGGTAGTTAGTAAAAAGCAGCTGATACATTGTAATGATTGTAAACTGTTCCAACATTTGTACCCTTAGTTTTCCATCTGTAATAACAACCACCAGAGCATGTCATCTACCAGCACAATCTCCAGGTACAGAGGGTCTAATTTATTCATATTGTGGAGCACTTTGAAATCTACTGTGTTTTCAATGTTTAAATTAACGTTTAATTGATACATACTACATTTCCAAATAAAGTGTATAATTTATAAATACCATGTTTACTTGATTAGATGACCCCCCAATAATTAGATTCTATATATGAAACATTTATAAATTTGTTATAATTTTCTAGAATCTAATTATTGGAGGTTCATTTTCATAGAATCTAATTATTGGAGGTTCACCTTGAATTTGTCCCTCTCCCACTGCTACCTCATGAAAAATAAATCGGGGGGGGGGGGGGGGTGTCAGGTAGCCCCTTTGTTCTCTGCTTCCACCCAACTTTTTCCCCTGGAAGCCCTTTCCCCCTCCCCTTACTGACAGTTGCTGCTCTCCCTAAGCACATGGAAGTGAGGAGCAAATTTGAAAACAATAACCTTGAAAAGTAATTTACATATATTATACACACAAACTTCATTTCAAAGGCCAAATCAGTTCCAAATTCACTTGAGCAAATCCCAAATTTCCCAAATCCAAATTTCAAGAGAGCAGAGCTCAATCGTAGATTCATAGATGTTAGGGACTGAAAGGGACCTCTCGATATCATCAGGTCCAGCCCCCCTGCATGTGGGCAGGAAAGACTGCTGGGGTCAGATGAACCCAGTAAAGTGAGCGTCCAGATGGTTTTTTGAAGATATCCAGAGTTGGTGATTGTACAACCTCTGGGGGGAATCTATCCCAGATCCTGGACACTCGCGTTGTAAAGAAGTTATTCCTTATGTCTAATCCAAAGTGGTTTTCTAGCAGTTTATGACCATTAGTCCTAGTCTTCCTCTGGGGAGTCCTGGTGGACATATGTTCTCCCAGGCCTTAATATGCACCTCTTATATACTTATCAGCTGCCACGAAGTCCCTTCTGAGTCTTCTCTTCTTCAGGCTGAACAGACCCATATCTCTCAGCCTCTCATCGTATGGCCTGCTCTCTATACCTCTAACTGTATATGTAACCCTTCTTTGGACGCTCAAGCTTCTCCACATCTTTCCTGAAGTGTGGTGCCCAGAACTGGACACAATACTCTAGCTGCAGCCTCACCAAGGCCAAGTAAAGCGGGAAGATGACATCTTTAGTCTTGTTTCAGATGTATTGTAGATGCATACCACTGTTTTGTTTGCTTTGCTGGCTATGGTATCGCATTGGTGGCTCATGTTCATACTATGGTCTATCAAGACTCTCAGGTCTCTTTCAGTTGTGGTGCTAGTAAGTGTAGCACTACCAAGCCTGTAAGTATGTTGTGGGTTATTTCTCCCCAGGTGGCGCACCTTACACTTTTCAGTGTTGAACATCAGGTTTTGATTTGCCCATCTTGCGAGCCTGTCCAGGTCAGCCTGTATCCCCAGCCTATCCTCCAGCGTGACCTCAGTCTTCCATAATTTGGCACCATCTGCAAACTTTGCCAGTCCACTTTTAACACCCAAATCCAAATCATTAATGAATATGTTAAAAAGCACTGGTCTGAGTACTGAACCCTAAGGGGCGCCACTGGTCACCAAGTGCCATGTTGACTCAGTTCCATCTATTATTACTCTGGGTCTTGCCTTGGAGCCAGTTTCCTATCCACCAGACCGTTGGGTTATCGAGGGCGCAGTTCCCCAATTTTATCATGAGCATGTTGTGGGAGACCAAGTCAAAGGCTTTTCTTGAAATCCAAGTAAATGATATCAACCTCATCTCCCTTATCCAGGTGGCATGTTACCTGATCATAGATGGAAATGAGGTTGGTCAGGAATGAGCTGCCTGCAACAAAGTCATGTTGGCTATCTATTAGAATGCTGCCTTCCATTAGCCTATTGCTAATGGATTTTTTGATAAATTTTAAATTAATCATTCAAGTCTGTGTTGTTCTACAACTGGGCAAGTATCCTGCCATACAGACCCATTGGTCTGGGGCTTCAGATACTCCCCAAATCCATGGTAGGCATCCTACGTGCAAGCCCCAGGCCCCTTAGCTTCACTTGTTTCTAGCCAAAAGGTCAAGATGCAAGCCAGTGGGAAAGCAAGAAAGCAGTCCTCCATTGCCACAAAATTGTGCAGTTTTGTTTCCTGCATTTGGGGAAACTCACAGCAGTCAGCCTGCCCAGAGTGCAAGGCATGAACCTCACCCTGCAAAAACCACTTTTGTGATCATGGTGTCTCCCCTGCCAGGTACCCATACACTTAGTTATCTTCTTTGAAACTGTTGTGAATTTTAGCACAGTACTCCATAAACACACTTTTAAACAGCACTTAGGCACCTTCTGCACGCTATTAGTCCAAAGCCAAAGCCTTATGATTTACCACATAGTTCATTGGGCTGGGCCTCATCAGAGTCAACAGCATTTCAAGCCATGGTGATCCCACAGCTCAGCACTGCTCAGCATGTGTGGACTCCAGATACCCTCTCCCCCAAAGGAGCCATGTACTAATTAGCCCCCACTCAAGACTAGAACTGGGTGTTCTCATCACTAACTCTGGGATGCTCCAAAAATTTATATGCAGAAGTGGTGCAGAGCAACCTGATCCAGCTTCACCTCATGGAGGGCAGGCCACGCTAATCATATGTACCAGGGTAAGAGAACAGGCAACAGAGGGATTCTGCGTGAACTGTTCAGGGGGCCATTTCATGATGTTGGCTAGGCATTTAAGGCTGGTGAAAAATAGGAATAATTGGAAATGGGAAAAAAAGGCGCAAACCCAGCCGTGGGATTGAAGAGGAAGTGAAGTAGTGGCTGTATGTGTATGTGATGTAGTGACTCAACATGACTTGAAAGAGTCAACAGTGAGGGGGACTACACTTAATGGGCACTATCATACATCTTATTCAGATGGACCTAGCCTTGTTGCATCAAAATGGGACTGAATGAGATGCAAGAAAACAGTGAAAGATGGATCATCTGGAAGAGGATGGGCTGGCACAGATTGTTCAGATGTGGGACTCCTGAAGAAAGTAATGACAATAATCATGATGGTAACAATGGCAGCGGTGGTGATAAGAGAGAAGAAAGTGATGGACAGTGACAACAGTGATGACTAAAAGAATGGGGAAAGAAATAGAGAGAGGTAGGGGTAGGGGAGAGGGCAATGGGGAGTGGGCAAGCTTAGGGTATAAGGAAAAAGTTGTGTGTCTATGTGACGGGTAAAAGTAATGGTGATGGTCACATGAGCACATGGATACATGGGAGTGCAGGTGCACGGTGTGGATATTGTGACAGGAATGTTTATGCTGGAATGGCAATGATATATTTTGGACTGTCAGGTGAGTCATAGCGGCCACAGGACAGTTTTGGTAGAAGTACTGTGAGATTTTATATATATATATATAGAGAGAGAGAGAGAGAGAGAGAGAGAGAGAGAGAGCAGGTGCTGCTAAAGGAAACTGTAGAATTAAGACAGGCATGAGAAGAGCTAGAAGAAAGAAGGCAAGAGTTAGAAACCTGTTTTAAAAGAAAGACAAGAGTGAAAATGTTCTTAGCACAAGCACCTTGGGTGGGAGAAAATGAAGAGTGGCTCTGGAGTCAACAGCATTTCAAGCCATGGTGAAATGCTGAAGATTTTACAAAGAGCTATACCAGAAGGAAATAGACAGGAAGACAGTGAAGGATTTCTTGGAAGAGATTGAAGAGATAGTAGAAGAGGATGAAGCAAAGGAGATGGAAGAAAAGATAAGCTTAAAAGAAGTGGAGGAGTGTTTAAAACCTCTAAAAGAGGGAGATCACCAGGAGCAGACAGATAGCTTATGGGATTTTATGAAAAGTTTTGAGCATGGGTAAAGAAGGATACAGTGGACATTTTGAGGAAATAGCAGAAACGAGAGTCAGGGAAAGATTTTACAGGAGGTGTTATGATCTTACTCTTCAAGAAAGGGGAGAAGGAACTCCTGAAAAACTGGAGACTGATTACACTCCTTAACATGGTCTATAAACTAATGGCTAAAATGCTGGCTTTGAGGATGAGAAAAACCCTCCAGAAGATAATACATGAAGACCAAGTATGCACATTACTAGGTAGAAGGATCTCCAAAGCAATTAGAGTGATCAGAGATAAACTGTCCCACATCCAAGAGAGGAAAACAAACACAGTTATAGCCAGGAATTTGGGTTTTCTCTTTACTGCAGAAAAATGCAGATTTTTCTCATTTCTAGTCAGTGGTGCCTGTTAAGGACTGGGAAGCACATACACACCAGTAGCAGGCAAGCACAAATTTGCAGTCTTTCCCAAAGCACCTCTTCCCTCATGGTGATGGCGCACAGAGGGATTTGATCTGCAAAGCAACCCATCTGCACTAGGGTATTGCCAACAATAAAGCAGAAAGCAGCCACTACAAGGGAATAATGCATGAACACTGCTAAACTTTACATAGCAGGATCTTGAGATTACTGCTGTAAACATGATCAACCTACCTGTTGGCCTCTACTGAATATGCCTGGCTTGTGTGGACCTTTCCCTTCAACCACTGCCAAACCATAATCCTCTAGTAAGTTGTTTTGGGGGAGTGCCTAAAATTTTAAAATTATTTTCTTTCAGTTGCATGAACACATGATGGGCAAAGTAAGGGTTGAACATGGATGCCAGAAGCCTAGGAGGGAAGGAGAAATGTATGTACAGGTCTCTCTCTGAAGACCTTTATACAAAAAGCCACTAATTTGGACAGTTTCTGAACAAAACACAAGCATTCCCTACCTGCAGCAAAAGCTATGCATCCTCCCATCCCATTGTGTAATATATTCCATCCAACCCTAAGCACTGATCATCTAAAACAAGATTCATTAAACACAGAATACTCCAGTGACCAGCACCTGCAGCTAGCACCATGCTTCTAAAAACCACCAGCACCAAGCAGCTCTGATTCTGAACAGTGACCACCACAGAGACTATGGCTATTCTGTCTCATGTAAAAATGGGATTTGAATTCTTTTGAATATCTGGTGAGGTGAGTAATCTACCTGGGGGTGTGCACCAAGCACTTTGAAAAGCTGGGTGTAGGTGTGTAAGGAGAGACGCTATTTTCTGCCCAAGAGTTAGGACAACCTTAGAGTCCACCACCCCTAGATAGGACTGTGGGTGTCTTCAAGAGCACAGTCACTTCTGAGTCTCCCTGGTCAAAATCCAGATGGCCACTGGCCATGACAGCTATGTGATCTATACAAAATGACCCTTTGCTCTCTCACCAGAAAGCACTAAATCCAAGTTTGGAGATGACACCAAACTATGGGGGGATGGTAAACAAATTAGAGGGCAGGGAGCGAATCCAGGTGGATTTAGACAGGCTGGGGAAATGGGCAGAACAGAATAGGATACAGTTTAACAAAGATAAGTGCCATGTATTGCACCTAGGGAGGAAGAATCATCAACACTCCTATAGCCATTCTAAGTAGCACAACTGCGGAAAGGGATCTCGGAGTCGTAGTTGACTCCAAGATGAACATGAGTCGCTAGTGTGATGAAGTAATAATTAAAAGCTAACTGCACTGTTTCTTGCATAAGTAGGTGCATCACAAACAGGTCTAGGGAGGTGATACTTCCCCTCTATGTGGCATTGGTTAGGCTGCAGGTGGAGTACTGCGTCCAGTTTTGGGTGCCACACTTCAAGCGGGATGTGGATAACTTGGAAAGGGTTCAGAGGAGGGCCACCCATCTGGTTAAAGGCCTACAGGAAAAACGCTATTAGGACTGATTGAGGGATCTGAATCTCTTCAGCCTTCACAAGAGGAGGCTGAGAGGTGATTTTGTGGCCGTCTACAAACTCATGGGGAGGCAAGGGGTAGGATATAGGGGATACAATGTTTACCAGGGCACCTGTCGGGGTAACTAGAAACAATGGCCACAAACTGAAGGAGAGCAAATTTAGATTGGATATGAGGAAAAAAATCTTTACTGTGAGGGTTGCCAAAATATGGAATGTGCTTCCAAGGGAGGTGGTGCTGTCCCCTTCCTTGGAGGTATTTAAGAGGAGATTGGACAAACACCTGGCTGGAATCATCTGAACCCAGCAGTTTTTCCTGCCCAGGGCAGGGGGTCAGACTCGATGATATAATAGGTCCCTTCTGACCCTAAACTCTATTAAATTTATGAAAGAGAAAAACATGGATTTTCCTCTCTAAAGGAGAAAACCACGGGAAACAGCAAGTTCCCCCATGCAGGCTGGCAGCCTTCTAACATGCAAAGAACTGCTTGGGGCTGGGGGGAGCAGGGCAAGGGTGACTGGAGGCAGGGAGTGCCATGTGTGTGCACATGCACACGCACACATGGCCAGCATACAGCCAAGAAGGGTGCAGGGAGCAGCTCTGCAAGCTGAATGCATGCAAGTCTATGCGGGGAGGGGCGTGGAGGGCCAGAGCTGGGGACTATCCAAGGGACTGTGGGGGAGGGGGTGTGGGATATGTGGGGGGGGTGGTGGCAGTAGTGTGTGGACAGGATGGTTGTGTGATGGGGGGCAGGTGCCTGCTTGGTGTTGGGGGAAGGTGTGTGGGTGCCAGGGCTGTGGTGAGCCAGGGCAGGTCTAAGGGAGCACTGAGTGCTGTTGCCAAGCCCAGCTCCACATTGTTGCCAGCAGGGCCTGCCTGGAGGCACCTGGAGAAGCCTGGGAGATGCTGCCTGGAGAAGGGGTGCTGTGGCCAGGCCACCTGGTGCATCATGGCAGCCCCTGCCCAGCTGCGGTCCCTTCCTCCTTCCTCCAGCACACGCCAGGGCCAAACTCACTCTGCTGCCACCCACACGAGTTGGAGCTGTCCAAGCCTGGGTGGGACAGGGCCTGGAGGCCCCTCACCCTTCTCCTGCTGACTGCAGCATGACCTGGGCCAGAGCTGCCCTCTGTTTTACACTGCTGCTATGGAGTCCAGCACTGGTCCTCCCCAACATGCCCCAGCTCCAGCCCATGTGGGGCAGCGAGTGGTGACCCAGCCACTGCCTATGGTTCTGCATGAGGCACACTGCATGCACCCCATGGTGCAGGCCACCCCCTTCCCTGTCCCTGCAAACCACCATCCTGTAGTCTGCATGGGGCTGGGCAAGGCAGGGGCAGCTGGGGCAGGTCTCTCTGGCAGGTTTGGGTGTGGGGAGGGCAGAGGGCTGCAGGTCAGGAGTGAGGAGCACTGGCAGGGTTTGGGGGGGGGGGGGCTATGGCTAGGGAGTGAGGGGCACCAGGGAGGGTGAGGGACTGAGAGTTGAGAGCGAG